TCAGCAGGGGAATAAAGAGCACCTCCCCTTTGCTTCAGCCAGCTCTGCTTTAACATGACTGGGTTTTTTCTCTCAGCAGAGATCTTGAAGCAGATGGTTGCAAATAAGGGGTCTTACATATTCAGTGTTCTGTATTACAGCTACTACTGGTGGTTAGCTGACTTGTCTCTTGGAATGAGAAGTGAAAGGCACTCTGGTTTATATGAGCTGAGCAATGGCCCTTCCTTGGGAACTTCCTGCTTGGAAGTTCAGGAGTACGGAGCAGTCATTGCTGTGTGTTTAGATTCATCCCAGAAAGTGGCCCTAAACCACAGGAACAAATTCTCTGCCGCCTCTTTGAAACCTTTTGTTCTGGTTAATTGTAGTAGTAAGAAGGTGACTCTCAGTAGAGCCCTTGGAGAGAAGGAATCCTTCATGGAAAAGATCTGTCCACTGAGTTTGTCATCAAGATCTTCCAGCTTTGAAGCTCATGATGGCCCTTCACTGGCCCTTACTACCTTGATACTGTGCTGGTGTATCTGTGAGGCTTCCACGTGTTGAGAACATGAGGAAAGGACTTGGGGTCCACTTCTGCATTTCACAGACATCCACTTAATTGTTCTGAGCTTTGCTGTGGCTTGCAGGACTTCACCCTTGAAGGTCAGTGCTCTATATTAAAAGTGGCCATGGTGAGCTGTAGCTTTTGTCCTTTGGCTGCATATCCAGCTTGGGTTTTTGTGAGGAAAGCAAAGCAGTTTGGGGTGACCCAGCACTAAGGAAGTGAGCTGCAGCACTGGCTTTGGTTTGGATTATTATAGAAAAGGCAATTCAATTGACAGGTTTGAGAATAAGCCCCTGATAGAACATGTTGTCTGTTGGCATTACTAGAGGAGCACATACACGTGTGTATTTCTTGGATCTCTGATCTTCACATTGAGCATGGGAGGGTTCGATTGAGGCACAGGAACCTGGGGGGTTTTGGAGGCTGAGACGAGTGTTCAGGTCAACAAGGTTTGTTCTTCCAAACACCAGTGTAATCTGTTTGTTCCTGTGTTAGGCAGATAAGCTGCAAATTTATGCTATTAAGATAACTTTAAGATCATGAATTTGGGACTGTGCTGAAATCCCATTTCCTTTGCAGGTGTGTTAGCAGCTCCAGCTGTCTTGTAGTCGGTTGTCACCTCAGCACATGCTAAAACAATCCCTTCTCTTAGCCCATCAGTAGGCTTTTTCCTATGGAAGCTTCATGCAGCAGTCTTGTGGCAGCCTTTTCACTGTCATGCTGACACTCCCTGTGTCTCAGGGCACTGATACTGACCTGTCTGTTCACCCTTCAGGTGGTTTTGGGGCGAGCAGAGCTTGCAGTGCTGCAGCAGGACTGCAGCTAATCTGTGTCATGGTTGTGTGGCTTCTAAACCAACCTGCTCATGACTGCAACAGTTTATATCAGAAAGAAAAGAAGAGATGACTCCAGTGTTTCTTCCTCTTTGTTCTCCAACAGCCCTAATGCTGCCAGCAGCCGGGATGGCCTGGACAATGAAACAGGGACAGAGTCAGTTATCAGCCACCGGCGAGAGAGGCATCGGCGGAGAAACAGAGAAGGGCACGAGGATGGTGAGTCCTGCTCCATTTTCCCTCTTTTTCATTTAGAAAGAACAATCTTGCTGCTCTTCCAGAGCAACAACTGTTTCTGCATGAATGCTGCAGAGCTGGGTCTGCATTCTTGCTGCTTTCTCGCTGTTATCATTTGAATGGAATAGCTTGATAATTGCTTTGGGACTCAGTGTTTTCTAAGAGGTGTGGGCAACCTACAGGAAAGTGGCAGAGAGATTCTTTTTGACTACAGAACTTTCTGTAGCATTAAGAGGATGATTAGCTTGGAGAGGAATAACAACACCCAATGCTGAGCTCATGGCTAGGCTGCCTCCGTTACTGAAGTTTGCTCATGTAAAGGTAGAACAGGTTATCTGTAGGATGTGGTGGGAGTTTGCACTGTAGGTAGTGTGAGAGTCTTGGTATTTTAACATTGCAAGCTCTGAGCCACAATCCTCTGAAATAATTCCAGTTGATTCCCTAGGCTTGAATCAGCAGCAGTGTTTTATGCTGGTAGAACTACAGCACGTTGGCTCTGAGGATCTTCTTTTTATACATAAATAGACCCAAAGCACACAGGTAAATACAGAACTTCATCTCTTGCCTTTAGTCTGCACATCAAAGTAAGCTTGGTTTTTCATTTGTTGCCAGACAGGAATTTCCAGGCTTAATGAAGAATTAATAGGTGCCACCCATTGAGTTTAAAATGGTCCAAACTATGGAATACTTGGGCCCAAGAGATGCCATCACAGGCTTTATTCTCCACCCACCGAAGTATTTGCCTCCAGTTAGAAAACCAGAAGTCATATATATACTGTGGGTTAGAAGCAGGGGTCTGTCTGTTCATTTAACCCTTCCAACCTGTAACAGGCTCCGAGTGAATGCAAGTTGCTCAGTGGGTGGAGCAGAGCTGTCTTTGCATGATCCCGACTGCAGATTCCTTTGGGAAGTCACAGAAAGAGGCAGAATCTTGTAGTGGTGTTGTGTTAAACACTTGTTACAGGAAGAATATTAGAAGGTGATTTGTTTCTAACACTAAACTAGTGCCAGTGCATGTTTTACCATGGACATTCATGGCAAAAGAGCTGGTTGTCCAATGGCTGGTCTAGGACCATAGTCTGGGTTGCTCATATGGAATTGTTCAAGCACAGGAGTTTCTGCTGTAGAAACTACAAGGCTAGTTCTGGAAAACCAGGACTCAAACTAGTTCATACTTTTTCCTTTAGATAGAAATATTCTCTTTCTTCCATTGGCCTAAGCTGTGCTCGGGCAAGAACATGTCTCTCAGTAACACAAACATTACTTGTTCTCCAAACAGTTTAGGCCTCCTACCTGAAACAGGCTATGTGTACGAGCAAGCAGTGAGTTCTGTTAACCTGCATAAAGCAAGGACAACTGCTGGATCATTTTGGTCTCATGAAATACATTATTTAATGTCCATGGTGTTTCTGTGGTCATAATAATGCTTAATTTAAAATCCCAAACCACCAGTGTGTTATTTTCAGTTGAAAGCATGTCTCCAAAGTGCACAGCTCAGCACTGTGTCCTCAACTGCCACTTAAAGATTAAAAGAAGTGAAATACCCTCATCCTGGACAAGGATTTTGAGGCCTCTTTACCATCACACAGTAGCAAAGCTATTCACTTCTTGAGCCTTCATGTCTTCTTTGTCTGGAGCACAGTTGGATGTAAAACGGGGGCACGGTTATAGGGCCAAGGATGGAAGAAGAGCAGCAAGGTTGTGACACCCGGTTCACAGGTACTTCAGGGGCAGAAGCTGTGTGCTCACTTGTCAGCATGAAAGAGTGGTAAATCTTCCTTTCCCTGCAGAAGAAGGAAATGCAGTTAATGTGTTTGATCTTGTCCTGTAGAGACTTGCTTAAATAACACCAAAATTGCAGCTCCCGTAGTTCACAGAGAGGCAGGATGAGGGATCTTTGTTGGAGCACTGCATTACTCAGAGGTTTGTTCCATAAGTATTACTGTGCAGAGTAACCAAGGCATATGTGTAATAGTGTCAGCTCCCCAGCTGTACAATAGCATGTACCACATAGTGTTTGTAACTGAGCTCATTCAGTTTTGATTTTGTTTTGATTCACTTTTGATTTTGATTGAGGTGTTCAGTTTTGATCTGAAGAGTGTAGGTGACAATGAAGTAACCAGACTGTGTGATGGCTGATAATTAACAGTGTGCTACCAGGGGAGGATTGTTCACATCTGCTAGCCTGTGTGCTTCCCTTCATTGTTGCAGGATTACTCATCACAGGAAAACTCTTTCTGCTGAATTGCTAATGGGCAATTATAGACATACACACAAAGGCCATTGTGAATATTGATGGCAAACTGCAGGCAGAAGATGTGGGACACACCTGGTAATCTGACAAAGTTTTCACACCTCTTCCCATTAAAAATGCAAAAGGATTTTGTAGCAGAGAGGCTGTGATTTACTAGAGCAGGGATTATTCACTGTGATAACAGCATAGGCAAGGGGATTTGCAAGCTCTTCCACCCATGCCCCGTAAGTTATGCTTCTATATGCAGAGGCAGTGAATAGCTGTGGATGCTTTTGTGCTTGTATCTCTGACTTAAGAAATACACCCACAAAGAGAATGTGATGGCTTCAGGCACGTAATGAAACTCTGTTCATCAATGTGCAGTTGGAGGTGTGTGACATTCCAGGTACAAGCACTAAGAAAATCATAAGGAAAACTGATCTGGAAAACTTAAAGCTTCTGGGTGAGCTGTCTGCCAGAGATAGGGAGGAGGTTGAGTAGGAATGTAGTTTCGGAAGAGTTACCACCCTGAGTCTTACTATGCTTAAGAGGAGGAACTTTGTAACTGGTGTTCATCTGTCCCATCCCAGTGTCCCGAAGCCTGTCTCTGGTAGCACTGTACGCCTGATGGCATCAGGGAACAGAAGTGACCTGGCTGGACAAATTCTGCCTAGCATGAGTTGTCCTTGTACAAGGAGAATGAGAGGAAGGCTAGCCAGAGGGGCAGGTATCAATCCACCTGGAATTTCCTTCCTTTCCTGTTGCAGTTGTCCAAGCACACAGCATCAGCAGAGCCTGTTCCTGGCCTCATCAGCCATGGAATGCTCTTGAGTATGCTGTTGGCTCTTTCATCACTTAAGCACCTGCTTAACTTTAAGGAAGTGTGCTTAAATCCAAGTGATTCGGGTTAACCTCAATTATGTAGTTGAAGTATGTGCTCAAATTGAACGGAATGCCTAGTAGGTGCTAGGGGAAGCTGCTTCCTGGACTTTGCTCCAGGACCTGACCTACAGCTGCGTTGAAATCTAAGGAAAGCTTTACACTTAGATCATTCCTCTGCTAGAGCTTTGGTTATTTGTGCACCAACCTGCTACCTGTAGCAGAGCACTTGTCTGCAGGGTCTCCAGCTTCTCCTGGTTTACAGCTTACTTCATGGAACACAGCTTGCTGTGTTCCTTTTCAGAAGGTTTTAGTAGACCATTCTCTGCTAACGAGAACCAGAACGGTGCATGATGTCCCATCTGCAAAGCACACTGTAATTCCCATCCACAGATGCTCACTAAAGCTGGGGGAACAATGAAGGATCAACAGGCAGAGATGGGATTTTTCTGCAGGGAATTGCCTAGACTTAAATCCCTTGTATTATTCTCATACTTAAAGCATGAAGTTTCACACCAGGAGTGCACGTGAAGAGATTTTTTGCTCTGGCACTGCTGTTGTAGTCTCACTGAGGTTAATAAAGTGAAGTAGCTGTGAAAGATGGGCCCTGTGAGGCCTGCATGGACAAAGTTACCCTCTCTATGTGTATGTATATATATAGTAAGGTATAATGATGTGTATTGTGGAGGCTACATATGCAGAGAAATTATTGTGGGGGTCTTCCTGGCTTGGTTTCTTTTCGGAGAGGCTTTGTATCCAAAGATGCTTTTGTATGAATTGGGGGATTTGTCTTTTCCTGATCACTCTTCACCCTAATTATGAGCAAATCCATCCCTGGCATTAGCTTCATATGAAATCAGTATGAAAGAGTTGAGCTGTCAGAATGTCAGAGCCCCACAGCAAAAGTCCTCATTGCTTTGGAAGGTTGACAAAGTCCTATTAAGTGAACGTGGAGTGAGGATCTTAATTAGAAAGGTGGGAGGTCTGCCTGGCACATGTTCCTGGGACCCTTGCTGTGGGGAACAAAGCTCCCACGTCAGTATCCCAAGAAGGAGTGGGGAAGGGGGCTGTGGAGGCTCTAATTAGGGATGTAATTAAGGGACAGCTTTTCTTTGGCATCGGGGAATGTTTTAGAGCTACTGGTTGGTTTCTGACAAGTCTGCAGATGTCAAGTGTCGGCACCGGTGTTTCAACACTGAGTTTGCTGTGGGGTGAACTTAACTGTTGTGCAGGCAGCTGAAAAATGCTGGGTAATGACCTGTGCTTTGAGAAGCTCTTAATGTGGACACGCTTGTAGATCCCTAAATGTTTGGGAAGAGGAGCTGTTGCCAGCTTCCAGTCGTTGCCAAGAAATCTGAACAGAAAGGGCTGGGACTACAAAAATGGGAGCTTTAACAGTGGCAGCTGAAAATTGAGCTCCAGCAGTTGCTGGTCTTTAAAGACTTTGTCAGGTATAAACAGCCATGAGGTGGTTGGTGAGACCTCAAAGGTTTGAAGTGACCAGATGGCTGTGCACGGGATGCTGGCAGCATGAGACTGACTGTGACAGCAGGAGCTTTGTTACTGGTTGTCATCTGAAACTGAAAGAGGGGAGATTGAGATGAGATGGTAGGAACTCTGTGGCAGGGGGTTGGAACTGGATGAGCTTTAAGGTCCCTTCAACCCAAACCATTCTATAATGACTCTACGATCTGTCCTATGGCAGTGTCTAGAAGCCTCTCTCCAGTAGCACTGCACAGTGGTTAGAGATGCTGTTGAAGAGTTCCTAAGAACTTCAAACACTAGACAAATCAGGATGTAGCACGTGGATGGGTATGAGCATAAAGCAGGAGTGGACAATTCCCTAATTCCCTATTCCTGTAGCAGGGAC